TTTTAAGTCAAATCCTGTTTTGTTTTTTTTTTTTTTTTTCTTTTTTTGGAGATATTTTTTCGCTATAGGGTGTGTGCGCTCGCCAGACAGACAGAGAGAGACATAGAGACAGAAAGCGAGAAATCACCCCCGGGGGGATGGTCCCACTGCAATCCCTTCTCCTCCATTCTCCTCTCGGGATAAGCTACCGGGTCCGGGACGTGAACCGTGGTCGACTACGTGGGAGTCCAGCAACATAGCCATTACGCTAACTGCTGGTTCCCGAAAATCACTTTTTTTTCTCAAAATTAGATAAAAGCATGGACCTAGTGCTGCCCTTTCTGTGTTGACAAAGGTGCATGCTCCTTCTTGGCAACTGCCGACACCTGCTGTCCAGCTGAGACCCGGCACCTACCCCGGCCAGCCCTCGCTGTGCCGTTAGGGCTGGCCAGGACTGCTGGGAGCACGCTCCTCACTCGAGGCGGTTTCTGGGCCCTCGGGAAGTGATCTCTTCCATGCTGAGCGTCTGCGGTGACCTTACGACAAGGACTGACTGACGGGCAAACAGAGACCGGGCCCATAGGCAGCGTGGGGAGGGCCAGGACAGGCATTTGTGCTTATAGGCCGTGAGGGGTGTGCCATGGTCGGCGTCCCGGCTGACTGCCCCAGGAACACGACTGCCGACACGGACTGGTCTGACTTGGAAATCCTCTGGCAGGTGCGGCCGCTCCCTGGTCGCGCAGCTGCATGACCATCGGGTACTCGGACATGTGTTCGGTGCCTGCCCGGTTCCCGAGCACGTCCCACAGTCTGTGCGGTGCTGTGTGACCGCCAGCGCCCATGTCCCTCAAGGGCTGCTCCAGCTTCCGGCCTTGCCAGCGCCCAGGGATGGCCTTGGGGGCACTGAGTGGCCAGGAATCCTATGGCTCTGTGTTTGTTCTTCGAGCGCACAGGGTCACATGCTGCTCTATGTTCCCCCCCCCGCTCACGAGCGCCCCCTTGCAGCAACTGCAGCTCCCCAAGATCCCAGGGGAGCCAGGTGTCAGCCCTGTCTACTGTGGGTTGAGCCACCCCCGCTGGTCAGGGGGACCCGCGGCTCTGTGGTCCCATCCCCTGCTCCTGCCGCCATCTGAAGCATGTGGGTCACTCAGTGTGAGGCCAAGCACGTGGCCTAGAATGTCTGGAGATGGAGCTCAGCCTGCCCACATGGAGAGAGCCTGATGGCACTTGGTGGCCACCGCCGAGAGTGTGCACAGAGGGTGGCAAAGCTGAAGAGCTGAGCTCAGAAGGCTGGGAGTCCCCACAGGGTCCAGACGGCAGAAGCAGGCTCTGTGGGTTTTTCCCAGGTGATCTGAGGACAAGGCCGCTCTTCGCCTACCGGGAGAGCAGGGGGTAGTGGAGCCGGCCAACGGTGCGCTGTCCCATCAGGAGGAGTACAGTCCTTTGGGGGCTCCGTGCTGCTGGCCGTGAGAGGTCTGGAGAGAGACACTATTTAGATCTTTGGAAACAGACATGAATGGATGCGTGAAACTGCTAGCTTGGCTTGGGTGTGCCGGTGTGGAGGGGTCGCTGCAGCCCTGAGCCTGGGGCTGTGAGAAACAGGTGCCTTGCCAGGCCAGCCCTTCCTCACTCTGCCGTCTGTCCCTGGGCATTGCCCTGCCTGTTACCCAGAGCTGCTCCTTTTTGGCTTGAGAGCGAGCACACCCACGTGGATGGCCGCCATACCTTCTCAGAACAGTGGCCTCCAGAGCGCTGGCCCCGGCCTCGCCCCCTCCAGTGCTCGGGGATGCAGTGGCACCTCTTCTCTCCAAGATTCCTAGGGCTGAGCGGGTGTCCACGCAGCAGAGACCATGTGCTGGGAACCCAGACTGCTGTGCACAGAGTGGAGTCTGAGGAGCCTCCCGAACGGACAGGGTGGGGCGAAGCCGTCTCAGGAGCCGTGAGGGAGGGGAGGAGAGGGAGATGGTCGTTTATGGCAGGGAGGGGTGTCATGTCCTCAGTAAGGCCCTCAAGAACGACACTGAGAGGAGAGTCGGCGTTCCTGTGAGGGCCTTGTTGCTGAGGTGCAGTGGAGAGCAGATGCTGAGCTCACGCACATGCACCGGCCATCTTTCAGACGAACGCGCTGGACGCCCTCGGCCAGACCGCTCTGCACCGAGCCGCACTTGCGGGCCACCTGCAGACCTGCCGCCTGCTGCTGAGCTTCGGCGCTGACCCGTCCGTCGTCTCCCTGCAGGGCTTCACGGCGGCGCAGGTGGGGAACGAGGCCGTGCAGCAGGCTCTGAGTGGTGAGTCGCAGCCTGGCCTGCTGGGCTTTCTGTCCCCCAGCCACTTGAGTGCGGTGCACTGCCCTTGGGGCTCTCCCTACCCGAGTCGTTCCCCCCCACCGCCCCGCTTATCCTGGGCCTGGGCCTCCCTGTCTCCCTGCCCCTTCGACAAGGTGGGTGTCGTGAGGAGGCCGCACTCTTCATTTGCTTGGTTTTACATCAAATGTGACTTGGTGTGAGGATCAAAGGTCACTGAAGACTCGGCCAGGCCCGACGCAGACACAGTGCCTCTCCCTGCTCCTAATGTTGGAGGCTGCTGGAGGCCCGGCTTCCGTGGGCGGGGACTCCACCTCAGAGACTGGGACGTAGGAGACGGGGGCGGGGCTTGTTGCATCTGCACTCTCACTGTCTCACACAAAAGAAGGACATAAATTAAAAAAAAAAAGAAATCTAGGTACCAGCAGGTGGTATAATGGTTACATTGCTGAACTCCCACATGGTCACCTGCGATTCGAGTCCTGGACCTGGTGGCTTGAAACTCACACCGGGTACATGTCCCTGCATGCCCAAAAATTCCAAGAGGAGGATATAGAAGAAGGGATTGTGGTGTGGCCATCCTCCCAGGAGATGTAACGTTACCAACCACATGGGAAGGCAGAGGGAGAGTGAGCCCGCCAGTTAGATTATAATACGAGGTTCTGAAATGTTTCTAAACGGTGCAGTCGGGACAGGGGACTTCTGGTAACTTGAGGTCAAGTCAGCACAGGTCAGACCAGGCTTGGTCTTGTCCCAGCCAGAGCAGGCGTGCAGTGGCAGGGCAGGAGGACCTGTAGTGTGGTAAGGCCGGGTCAGAAGTCTCTCACATATAAAACAAAAAAAGTAAAATTAAACACTGAATCAAAAATATTATTCTTGAATTATTTTAGTACGTCTGCTATAAAAATTGATTTGTAAAAATAAGATACTATATAGAAAACTGTTTGATTTAGAACATCCCAGAATCACTTGGTTTACTTTTTCATATTCTTCGTGGGTCTGGAAAAAGAACACAGTAGTGGGAACATGCGGGGTCTGGCCCTTCAGAAGATTGGCAGTGGCTCTGGACCAGCAGGTGGCATGGTGGTTAAGGCGCTGGGTCCTACATGGCCAGCAGCCCCGTTTGAGTCTCGGACCTAGTGACCTAAGAGTCATGTCAGGTGCGTGTACGTACGTGTGTACCCGAAATCACGAGAGGGCAGTGAAGGAGAAGGGATTACAGCGTGGCCCTCCTCCCTCGGGTGGTATCTCACTTTCCCTCCCTCTATCTCAAACACACGCCCCATGGCAAAATGTTTATTTAAAAGAAAAAAAAGGCAGTTGTTTCTTGTTCTAAAGAAAGAGGTTTCTTACACTAACCTCCCCACCAGGAATTGTGTGTCCGTAGACCCATCATTATTTACCACTGAGCCCTGTGCGTAAGGAGTCAGGTCCCACGTGGCTGCCCAGGGTCCGAATGTTGGCCCTGGGGCTTTAAGAACACTGGGCAGTGTGTGCCAGATCCCTGATGGGAAGGAGGGCCCGCAGGGTGACCACACCCCAGTGAGGGTGCTTTCTCTCCCGCCCTCGCTCTTTAACCGTGTGTATGGACTCTGTGACAGACAGTTAAAAATATAAATATTTTCGGCATCACGGGCAGGTCTTTTGGACAGTGCTTTTAGGTCAGATCTTGCCCACAAGGAAAACATCCTTTTCATCTGATCACTACAAGGTAAGGCTTAGGGGCTTGTACAGACTCAGACCCTGGTCCCATTTACAGGGGCTCACCAGTGAGCCCCCAAGGCCTGCTGCCAGTTCGGTGGTCCATGCTAGCCCAAGATAGTCTGTAAGGGTGGGTTTCAGCGGGACTGTCTTCCAGCCTCGGACCTCTGGGTCCTGGTCCACCAGACAGGATGGAGAACAGTTGGGGTGCTGCCCCTCTGACCTTCGGGGAGGTCTAGCCTGTGCTCTGCACGGCCAGCACCCTGCCTGGTCTTGCTGCCGCGAGATCCGCCACACTCTCTTCTGTGGGCTCTGTCCATTCACCTTCGCTTTGTCCCCTCGTGTGTCCCTGTGTGCACGGCTCCCAGGGCGTGTTCTCTCCAAGATGCTGGCTCCCTGTTTCCAGGGCCGAATCCGCCCGAAGGCTGCTCAGGGCCCTTTGCAGAGGTTATGTTGTGGGATCCCTGTCACTGCAAACCAGCCTCGGCCTCTGCTCTATGACCAAGACTGAGAGTCCCTTTCTTAGGGTTCTTGGGAGTATCCTTGAGTGTCATGAATCTTTTGCGGGACTGGAATACCGTTCCCTCACTAGTCAGTTGCACTCAGCCAGGTACACCCACTTCAGACAGTTCTTGGAATGAAAAATTTATCCATGCTAACGGCACCACTCAAGTGCTGGCATCTCCGATTCTCAAATCTCCCCCTCTGTGTGCATAAACGTCACCCTTTGTTTTCTTGAAATGATCATGGAAAGTGCCACCAGGGTCAGTGTCATAGCCATCATGCACACGGAGCTGTCTCAGCTGAACACGCAGCAGTGCACACTCAGCACAGGGCAGCGAGATGCGGAAGGACAGTGACAAGCCCGAGCTCGCCGGCCCGGTGAAGGCCAGCTGGGCGTAGCCCCGGCAGCGCTTTCTGGGTGCCCTTGTTGACTGAAGACGAGCAGAATGGGACCAGCAGATGGCGTAGCAATGGCTATGTGACTGGGCTCCCATGTAGTCGACCACAGTTCGCGTCCTAGACCCAATGGCTTGAACTAACCCCAGGCGCATGTGTGCGTGTGCTGAAGATCCCGAAAGGAGAACGGAGAAGGGGTTGCGGCGTGGCCATCCCCCCGGGGGGGTGGTGATTTCTCGCTTTCTGTCTCTGTTTCTCTCTGTCTTTCTGGCAAGCGCATGCGCCCTATAGCAAAAACGTCTCAAAAAAAAGATGAACAGGAGCTGCCCCGTGTTCAGAGCTCCACAGACCAGCCAGCTGAGAGCGCTCCTAGAACAAAGCCCGTAGGCGCTTCCCAGGTGCAGCCTCCTCCTTCCTCCCTGTACCTCTGTTCCCTAGTGCTGTTAGGGTCAGATAAGCAGTTATCTCTCACTGAGGAATTCTCACAGCTTATTCTGAAAGCCACTCTCCCAAGAAAAGCCCTTAGACTAGAACTGAAGTATTTCTTCTGAAAGCTAGAGCCTTTTCATAGCATCCCTTCTCACTTGGACAGCAGGCTCAAAAAAGTGTCTCTGATTATAAGACAATGCAGTCTTGAGCCTGGAAGAGACTTTGAGGGAAACTAACTCTTACACTTTATCGGTGTAAAAACTAAGCTGTTACATGACCTACCAGAGTTCATGCAGCACCTAGCCTAAGGTCCTGGTCTCCTCAGTGATGCTCAGTCTCTCCGCTTGTGCACGTGTGCATTATGCAGGCCACACACGTGTGCTTTATGCAGGCCACACACGTGTTCTTGAACACACTCTGAACAATGTATTGTAAGTTGTTTCCTTAGAAACCTGCTTTAGTTGGGCCAGTGCGTATAGGTCTTGGGTTCGCTTACAGTGGGTTGATCAGAGCCCCAAGCTCATTAACCTCACACAGACTCCTGGCTCACCCTGTCCCGTGTGGCGGTGGTATCACACCTTCCGGTCCTGTTTCCCTGAGCCACTTAGGAAGTGCAAATTGAACAAGTGTCTGTATTTAGTAGGTCTTACCTGTGAATGATGATACTTTCTAAGATCATTCTGACTTCAGGAGAAGGAGTTCTATTTTATATTGAGGACTCTGAGTCTAAGGAGAATCTGAGCACCCAGTACTAGGACTCAGTGGTCCCCCAACTGCACAGAGCACACCCGTGCCCCCCCCACCACACAGAGCACACCCGTGGCCCTCCCCCGTCTGCACAGAGCACACCCGTGGCCCCCCCGACCACACAGAGCACACCTGTGCCCCCCCCCGACCCCCCCAGCCACCCCCG